TAAAGTAGGTAGTCCTGTCGCCTCACAGAAAGAAGGTCGCTGGATCGAGCATCGGCAAAGTTGGCGTTTCTGTGTGGAGTTTGCATGTTCTCCCTGTGTTCGTGTGGGTTTCCTCCGGGTGCTCCGGTTTCCCCCACAGTCCAAAGACATGCGGTACAGGTGAATTGGGTAGGCTAAATTGTCCGTAGTGTATGTATATGCGTGTGTGCGTAAATGTGTATGTGGATGTTTCCCAGAGATGGGTTGTGGCTAGAAGGGCATCCGCTGCGAAAAAACTTGCTGGATAAGTTAGTGGTTCATTCCACTGTGGCGACCCCGGATTAATAAAGGGACTAAGCCGACAAACGAATAAATGAATGTCAATTTCAACAAAGATCAAATATTGACCCTCTGGAGTCTGGGGTGATTTTAGGGCCTCTAAGATGTTTTTACATGCTTTGACGTGTGCTTAGTTTAGCTACTTATTAAATAGTATTGGCCAACATGTATTTTTTTGTATTCAGCACAAAGTGTGCTACAATAATATTGTAAGAAATATTGATGTCCATGCATTTTTGGAGAAAAAAAAAATGTAGCTGAAATTAGGTCCAAAAAACCACAGTGAATGTGCCTGAATAAACCTTTAACTACCCCACCAAGAAAAAAAAATGTTTGGATTGCATTTCCTCACTCCTAATGTCTCTAGTTAACACACTTAACACATTTTTTCAACACATCCCATAATTTAAAAAATATCAACCTCTTGCAAATGGTTGGTATGTCAGTTTATGGTAAAAGTACAGGAATTAATACATATACTCTGGAAAATCGTAAAATATGAAGGTGTAGGACCGATTTATAAAAAATATATATATTCAAAATAAAACATTTTTGAATACCAAATCAGCTTTATTTTTTGATGTAAGCCATAAAATCTTTCAGATTGTCATTTAACATGTTTTCTTGTTTTTTTTGTTTTGTTTTTTACAATAAAACCTATATCAAGTGTAGTAATGCAACAACTTTTTTTTTGTAAACCAACAATGCTGTGTGTAAATCTTTACTTAAAACAGTCTTTTTCTTTAAATTACTTTAACAGTCATTATTTAAAATGATAAACACATGAGAAGATACATTTGAAGCAAAAGTACAAAATAAACAGAATAATGAAAAAAAGGAATGTTAGAAAATGTGAAAAAAAATCTTCTCTCTAAATATTTTATTATTTACAATATATATTGCTACAAAACACTGGCTGAAGTGGCGCTAGTAAATCCAGTCTTTGGTTACGAGGAGTCACCTTTGCGAGGGAAAGACACAGAATTTAATGACAACTGCCTCTGCATCAGTCTCCCTTGATGCTTTTGATTACGCACAGGCAAGCACCTAGTTCAGGTCGACGCAGGAGGAAGATATGAGTTAAGGCAGATAGGAGTTTTAGTTAATTTGTCAAATAAATAAATGAATAATTTAGCCTATATACTCGTCATGCAAGTTCATTATTAAAATATGAATGAGAAAAGCGATTAGAAAGTCTGCAAATTAAATAACGATCAATAATAGGTTATGACGGAAATTTTACAACCCTCTCCATCAAAATGACAGACAAATTGAGAAAGTATAACTCGACCTCAGATATATGTATATATATATATAGTATATGTTTTTTTTTTTTACACTGGTATTACAAAAGTGAAGACTTTATCTAAATTCAAAGTTTGTTATTTTACAAATGATATGATGTCAAAGTGGTAGAAGCGAATGCAACATAGCCTTCCCTACCAGGAAGACATAATGCTACGTCACTCATCACAATCAGTTCCAACCAATAGCCACGAGATACATGGAATATATATAAGCTGCCTATTTAATTTATTCATTTGGTCGCAGCTACTGACATGGACGTTCACCCACCATCCTCCCCACCAACACCAGGTTGACCCTGTTCAGGTGGGTAGGCTCCACCCCTGTCTTCATCCTCAGCAGCCATAGCTGGAATAACAAACATTCGATTCAAACTAAGGACTGGGCCTCCGCCAAAGAAATCCTATGTTTTGCAAAATCATACTGGTTTTGAAACGACACTCATCACTCAAATGTAATTCAATATCATATTTATCTGCCTGGGCTTTCTGGTAGAACTGTTATTACGATAAACTGAACAGCGGACATTACAACAGTTTAAATATCAGCTCTACAAAACAAAAGCTAGAACATAAAATCAAAACAGTAGGACTTCTGTTTAATATAGGGTGAGCAATACTGAAAACAAAAAAAAAAAACTGCCAGTGATGCTTTTGTGATGTTACCTGCACTGTGAAGCGAAAGAGTCATTAATTAAGAATGTTTAAACTCAAACCAGAAACCAAAGTGGACCCAGAAGCCAACAACAACCCAATTCACACTGGATTCACATTTACATGTTTATTTGTTCCAACAGACCTGAAAACACACACTTTATAACACTACTGGAAGCCAATCCCAATACAAAACCAACCACCAGGCACAATCCAGCAAGTTTAGCATATGATTTGGTGCTCAATGAACATTTACTACATTATCAATGTTAAAAACATTTTATAATGAATGCAAAACACACAACAACAACAACCTGCATTTGAAATAAAATATTTAGTAACAAAATAAAAGTCTTTAATGCCACTGTGAATAATTTGATGCATTTTTTGCAGAATGAATGTATTATTTAAATGAATTCATTATTGATTAAAGGCGTGTTTACATAGCATAGTCTGGGTCAGAAATGTTTTTTTTTTTTTTTAGAGAATCAGGCCATGCTGCACCACCTGTCCATATTGGCATCTGGCTACTTTGGCAAGAATGAACGTTTCAGCAAGCTGCAAAAAAATTGCTTAACACCATTTAAACACTGAAAAGCCAGTTTATGTTGCTGTCCAAGCCATGCAGGACTATACAGAGAGTTACATTTTTGTCATTCAGCACAGTTTATTTCCCCTTCTGTCTGCTAACCTCATGGCTCAGGTTTGGGCAACCCTCCAGTGTACTATGGCATTGAAAACAGCCGCTAGCACACAGTCATACTGGACTATCTTCCAAACACACACAAGCTGCAGTCTTGAAGGACAATATCCATCTTTTTCAGCAAATTATGAGTTACACTAACAGTTTTAGAATAACCGATTTTAAAAAATTAACAAATCACTCTAAATGCTAAAGGGATAGTTCACTCAAAGCTGAAAATCTACCCACTATGTACTTTACTGTAAGGGTTTCCATGAGTTTCTTTCTTCTGTTGAACACTGAAGAAGATATCTTGAAGGTGAAAACCTGTCCATTGACTTTCATTCATTCATTCATTCATTCATTCATTCATTCATTCACTCTCCTTTGGCCTAGTCTCTATTTCAGAGGTCACCACAGTGGAAAGAACTACCAACAATTCCAGCATACCCAGCAGACACAGGACATCAACATGACGTCAGATTGACATTGTATCCCAACATCATGGGACGTTATACTTTGTTTTGAAATGAAAATCGGGTTTATGTCAACATCAGCCCGACATCAATATCCAACATTGGACAGACATTGCATTTTGGTTACTTTCCAACGCAACCTAAAAACAACCAAATATCAACATCTAATGATGTTACAGCTTGATGTTGTCTTGATTTTACCACTATGATGCCTATCAGATGTTGGATTTGGTTGCCATACTTGAAGAATAAATGTCAGTATTGACGTCAATATGATGTTGGTTCAAGATGTTGTCTTGAGTTGGATTCACTTTCCAACACAACCTAAAATCAACCAAATATCAACATCAGTTTACGTTGTTATTGGACGCCAAAATAACATTGTCTTTAGATGATGGCAACCTAAATCTAACCTAATATTAATGTCTTATGATGTTGTGTGTCAGCTGGGTATGTTTTACGCAGCAGATGCCCTTCCAGCTGCAACCCAGTACTTGGAAACACCCATACACACTTATTCACAAACACACTCATACACTGCAGACGATTTAGTTAGTTCAATTCACCTGTAACGCACATCTTTGGACTGTCAGGGGAAACCAGAAATAATAGGGCGACGCGGTGGTGCAGTCGGTAGCACATTCGCCTCACAGCAAGAAGGTCACTGGTTCGAACCTCAGCAGGGTGAGTTGGCATTTCTGTGAGGAGTTTGCATGTTCTCCCCGTGTTCGTGTGGGTTTCCTCCGGGTGCTTCGGTTTCCCCCACAAGTCCAAAGACTTGTGGTATAGGTGAATTGGGTATGCTAAATTGTCCATAGTGTATGTGTGTGAACATGTGCTGGACAAGTTGGCGGTTCATTCCACTGTGGCAACCCCAGATTAATATAGGAATGAAAGCCGAAAGGAAAATAAATGAATAATAATAGTAATAATAACAATAATAATAATAATAATAATACTAAAACACATTACTGACTGTTTCAACTGTTTATTTACAAAACAACTCAAGTTGAACATATTTAGTAATAATGGGAATTTTTATTATTATTATATTTTGAAGGGGGTGTCCCTTATTTTCACATCCCAATGTTGACAGGTATGATCAAGCATATCTGTAGCCAAAGCTCTTGAGTTCATTGTTTTGTTCTTCCAGATTATTATTATTTTCGTTGTATTCCCTACAGTACAGTTACATTCAATATTCATCAGTTTTGAGTTTTTTTTTTTTGTTGTTATTAAGGATCTCCTGAAAATAATTAGTCAATTCTAATCAGATTTCTTTAATATTAATTGAATGAAATATGAGAACAATGACACTCTAAAAAAGAAAGAGGAAAAAAGTTAAGTTTTCTAAGTTAAGTTACTCTCATATTTGCCTCAAAGCATTGTGGGCCACAGGAAAAAGATGGATAGACATAACATAAAGAACATTATCATCTCTCAATGTTTTTTCTCCAATCCTTCAGAGGAGGTTTTAATTCCATCAGTGTCAACCCACACAGGAACGAGGCCAACATTAAAGAGGCAGACCGCCAAGAGGAGAGAGATGAAAGCAGGCTTGCTTACCGTATTGAAATTAGGGAACAGGCCGACCGGAGAGGAGCTCTCCACGGGGAAGGTCATGAAAGGCTTCATGTCCAGACCGGACTGCATCATTAGAGACGGAGTCCGGACCAGTGTGGGGAGTGTGTTGCTGTGACAGGAACTTCCTGGAGAGGAAGAAAAAGACAGAGAGTCAAAGCAAAACTTCGGGGACAAAATATGCACAAATGAGGAGAAGAAGAAGAGATATGATGGAGAGCGGCAGCGATCAGTGGAAACTAACTCAACGTCATTGGACAAAGAAGCTGAATACCTGAGCGCTCCAGGGAGAAAGACTGGCACAGATGTGATAGAGGAGTGAGGTTGACATATGATGAGAAACAGATAAGAAAACACAGCTTCTGGTATTCATTTTTGGGTAAACTATCTCCTCAAGACGTCACAGACACATTGTTTGAGCCAATCACAAAATAAACAGCAGTGAGAACAATACTAAAATCTGTTTAGGAATGTTGATCATAAATATCGCCCTGATGCTTATTTCTTTCAATATAACATTATGCTGATGAACAATTTCAAAATTATGGGTGGCACGGTGGCACAGTGGTTAGCACTGTCGCCTCACAACAAAAGGGTTGCTGATTCGAGTCCCGGCTGGGCCAGTTGGCATTTCTGTGTGGAGTTTGCATGTTCTCCCCATGTTGGCATGGGTTTCCTCCGGGTGCTCCAGTTTCCCACACAGTCCAAAGACGTGCAAAATTGAATTAACTGTATTGGCCTTGTATTAGTGTGTGAATGTGATTGTGTATGGGTGTTTCCCAGGACTGGTTTGCTGCTGGTAGGGTATTTGCTGTGTAAAATTTATGCTGGAATAATTGGTGGTTCATGTTCATGACTGTGGGGATCGCTGATGAATAAAGGACTAAGCTGAAGGAAAATAAATGAATGAATGAACGGAATATTTCCCCCATTATTTGTAGCTGCTATTTATCTGTTTGTCAGAATTTATTGCTTCTACTATGCATCAAAAACCCGAATCAAATGAAAAAAGAGAAAGATTAAAAAAAGCTTTCATTAACTAAAATAAAGATTAAATAAATACAGAAATTCTGGGGAAAAAATGTATTACTAAACCAGAAATTATATATATAAAAACGTTTGGGGTCATTTTTTTTACATTATTAATTTTATTTAATAATTTTAAGAAAATTGTTCTGTTCATTAGGGCGACATTTATTAAATGTAAAAAAAAAATTGTTAAATACTTATTAATTATTTATTTATTACTTATTTTATGTAGTTTCAAATGAAATTATTACTCCAGTAACTATTGCTTTTATTAATATTACTATTAATAATAGTAGTAATGAAGCTGAAAATTCATCTTTAAAATCACAAGAACAAAGCTATTAAAACTAAATAATTTAATTTAAATGAAATTAATGATGAACTACTTTTGAACAGTTATTTTATAGTGCAATAACATTTCACAACTTTAAAATTTTTACTGTATTTTTGATTAAATAGATGCAGTTTCGGTGAGCAGAATAAACTTAGAATTTAAAAATCCCACTGACCCAAAACGTTTCACCGGCATATATATATATATAAATATATATATATATATATATACTCATACATGTACATACACACAAACACACACACGCAAATATATATATATATATATATATATATATATATATATATATATATATATATATATATATATATATATAGTAATTAGATTTACTAGGCAAGTTAGTTTAATTAGGCAAGTCGTTAGACAACAGTAGCTCATTCTTTAGCCAATAATAAATTGGCTAATAATACAGAAGAGCATATATAATTTATTTTTAATGGTTTATTTTATTCGTTCATTTATTTTCATTCAGCTTAGTCTCTATTTCAGTGGTTGCCAGAGTGAAATGAACCGCCAACTACAGTATTGCAGCATATGCTTTATGCAGCAGATGCCCTATGCAGATCCATAAACACTGATTCACACACACACACACACACACTCTTATACACTACAGCCAATTTAGTTTATTCAATTCACCTATAGCGCATGTCTTTGGACTGTGGTGGAAACTGGAGCACCCAGAAGAAACCCACGCCAACATGGGGAGAACATGTATAATTAAGTATACAAATACTACAATAACCATATAAACAAACATAACACTGCATAAACTGTAAAAATCAACTGTATTTCACATAGGAAGAGTCCTATTTGTATCAATGGATGGCATGAAATGGTGTTGAGTAATGAATAATGAACATGGCTTGAACACTGAGTTCGGACAGGGACACAGCCATGAATATTTCCAATATTTTGCAAGTCTCCAATTAAAGGCTTTAAATCTCAATGTCTGCTAAATGACTTCTTGTCATTTCAGCATGCACATTTGTTACAAGTCAGATCGCTCATTTGAATCATTTTTAATTCTGTTCAATTAGTAACTTAGTCTCTTTTCATTCACTCACAATTACTCATACTGACCGGAGATCTGGATCACGTACAATAGAAGCGAGTGGTAACGTCAGTCCAACACCACTGAATAAATCGTCCCGTAATACGCTTTGATCAGCGAGAGCAGTACCATGTCCATTTATATGACAAACTGACAGCTCCAATCGGACGTGTAATGAAGAAGGATCTAGCCTAATGTGCCATGAAGAGATATCTAATCATGTATGTGACCAAAAGAAAAGGGTCATTTCCAGTTGGCTGCACAATTAAAAGATCCAAGATCCTTCGTGATAAGAATCAAGAGGTCAAGATGTGAAACGTAACCAGCCTGCATAAAGTATGGACTTAAAAAAAAAAAATATGCAGGCCGTGTCACCTTAGTCTCGAATTTCTATATGTAATGGTTACACAAATCCTTGTAATGCTCCTAAAATGATGGCAACAGTAAAGCAAACATGCTCTAAGCATTGCAGGGGATATGGGAACATCTAAAGCTGCGGCACGGCATCCCAGGAGGTATAATGCGCACTAAAGCTGCTTTAATCATAAGCTAGTGTGGCTCATTTTTGCTTTTTGCAGAAAAAAACAAGCTGCAAGTGTGCTTTTTTTCCCTTGTCATTTCGTCTGCCCGAACAAAAGTACAAAAAAATAATAAATAATCAACCAATCAATGGCTGTCAGTGTAAGTTAATAGCAGAAAAGAGTGAGGCAGAGTTCAAGTAATGCTTTTGGGATTTCTTTTCAGATGTCATGTTATAAGTGGACTCAATGAGGCGTCTTGTAGTGTGCTTTGTGGCTGCCTAACAAATATTATTTGGTTGTGAAAAAACTGCATTCATGCTTGTAAAACCAATTCAAATTATGGAGATGAAAATAAAATGGCTATTGTTACAGTGTGTTCAAAAAAGCGGGTTGTCAAATCGCTCCATTTCTGTGTAAAAGACATTCTTTTTCAATTCCTCACTAATTGCAATGCACGAGTCCACATATTAAATGCACACACTCCATCACTAGACAGATGTTTCCCTCTCCAGCAGTACATCTGAGCCCTGAAACAGACATCCATGAATTATTTAAACATGTGTACAGTAGATCTGTATGTGTTCCAAATGGGTGTGCTCCATTTTAGATGGTGATTGGTTCCACTATGCACCTTATACATACGGTACCTGACAAAAGTTTTGTCGCCTATGCAAGTTTTGGGAACAACAATAATAACTTAACTTCTAGTTGATCATTTGTTACCGGAAGTGGCTTATATTAAAGAAAAAGGCTTCTAGATTACCGCAAAAAATAAATAAATAAATAAATAAAATAAAATAAAATAAAATTTCAGCAAAATAAAATATGATCATGCCTTGATTTCTAATGATTTAATTAGGTGAGGAAGGTCTGACTTTGCTTAGACAAAAGTCTTGTTACTTAACAGAAATAATGTACAGTACAGAATATAAAGTCATGGTGCAGTGGAAAAAGAATAAATATATATATATATATATATATATATATATATATATATATATATATATATATATATATATATATATATATATATATGTATATATATATATCTGCATTGACTCAAATAACTTATTAATAAAGTCATCTGGAATAGCAAAGAAAGCATTCTTGCAGGACTCACAAGAATTCGATAAGGTTCTTTGGATTCATCTTCAATGCCTCCTCCTCCATCTCACCCCAGATATGCTCAACAATGTTCATGTTTGGTGACTGGGCTGGCCAATCCTGGAGCACCTTGACCTTCTTTGCTTTCAGGAACTTTGATGTGGAGGCTGAAGGAGTGCTATCCTGCTGAAGAATTTGCCCTCCCTGTGGTTTGTAATTTAAAGAGCAGCACAAATGTCCTAATATCTAAGGCTGTTAATGTTGCCATCCACTCTGCAGATCTCTTGCATGCCCCAATACTGAATGTAACCCCAAACCATGATTTTTCCTTCACCAAACTTCACTGATTTCTACGAGAATCTTGGGTTCATGCGGGTTCCAATAGGTCTTCTGCAGTATTTGTGATGATTGGGATGCAGTTCAACAGATTCATTTGAAAAATCTACCTTCTACCACTTTTCCAAATGATCAACTAGAAGTTTGGATTTGTTGCTTTTACATCTGGGATTGATGGCAAGACTTTTGTCAGGATGTGTATATAAGGACAGCCCCAAATATTAGTCTTTTATTTTTTGAACCTCATTGATTTCACACCATTGTTTGGCTACTTTTCTGATTGACTGAACTGCAAAAAATGTCTTCCTTACTTAAAGAGCCCATATTATGGGTTTTTGAAAATTCCCCTCTATGTAGTGTGTAACACAGCTCTAAGTGAAGTGAAGTATCCAGCTAAGGCTTAAATCTGTAAGAATACAGTGTTTAAAACGGTTGATTCATCTATAAAAGAGTCGACTCATAGTGCTTCAAACGAGTCGCCTTGATACCGACTCATTAGGTGTTTCGCCATGACGTACGAACGAAACCAAGTTATTCACGTGCACGCGCAAACCTGGGAGATTTCAAACCTGAGGCCCCGCCCTCTGACGCAGAAACCCAGACACACACACACACCCACAAACACACGCACACCCACAAACACACGCACACAAACATGCCGGTCGATTGAAGTCACACTGCAGATGGATATTTTATTGAGTCTCTACCCAAAGATGAAACCTCAGCATTATA